CCTCCCCAAGTCCCGCCCCTTCACACAAAGAGCCCCGCCCCCTCATCTTCAGCCCCACCAGCCCCGCCCCCTACGCCTCTCCCCACGACTAGCTCTGCCCCTCAGGTATGCACAGGTCACCATGTGATTTTACTGAGGTTTCCAAGTGAAACTGGTCACCTGTTTGTCTCCGTGGTAACCAGTTTAACCCCTTCCTCTTCAGACAGATCACCAGAGCGAGTCAGAGGACAAAGATGGACCCAAACACGTCTTCTCCTTCAGCTGGCTCAACCAGAAATAACAGATCTGGGGCCTGGAGGAGCTGGAGGTCCTGGAGGACCTGGAGATCCTGGAGGACCTGGAGATCCTGCAGGACCTGGATCAGACTTGTTGTCTCGGTTCATAACTTGTTCTTGTGTTTCTGGTGTGTTAGAAGCAAAGGAACTTTCCTGAACCCATCTGGTTCTGTAGAACCGGGTCATGTTGATGTCTTGTGTTAAAGTTAAATAAAAGTTTTATCATCTGACTGATTATTGATTATTGATCTGCAGAAACAGACGCAGAGAACGCTCCTCTTCAGCGAATTTCAGACAAAACATTTCCTTTTCCTGTTTGGACATCTGAACCAGAACCTTCTCTGATAACCTGAACCAAGTTCTTTTGGTTCTGGTTCCTGCAATAAGAGGAAAAAGAATTCATATCTATTCATCAGAGACCAAAAGGCCCTGGTCCAGGTCTCTCCAGGTCCAGGTTTATCTGGTTGATGTAGCTGAATCCTGTTTCCATGGCAATGACCCGGTCAGGTCTCCTTGCCGCTCCACTGAAGAACTTGCAACTTGACCTCTGACCTTTCAGAAAGTAGCTCAATGCTTTTTCACCAGAAAGTGTTTCCTGAACAGGAAGTGCATCTGCTGGGTCTCTTCAAAATAAAACATCATAAATCAGCAACAGCCTGGAGGCTGAATGCGACTCAGCAGGTTGTGGGTTCAAATCCCGACCTCGGGTTCTTCAGTGCGCCTATCCGGGTTCTGTCCGGGTCAACAAATGGTTCCGAGGTCTGAGTCCGCGCCCCCATGCTCATTTCCGGTGCTCTTATTGTGACAGTCGGACTCTTATTTTGAAAGGCGGCGGTGGCGGCGGCCCATTCTGGGTCGGAGCAGCTGGAGGTTCGGATAACATGGCGGGTCGGGACCGGATCGTTCACCTCCTCAGACAGCTGGAGCGCGCGGCGTAAGTCCGAACCGACTCCGGTTCCCAGCCCGTTCGGGTCGAACTCTGATTTAAAAGGTCACAGTTCGGAGCGGTTCGGATGAATGTTGGGTTTTACTCGGTGGCTCGGTTAGGTCCAGACAGGTTCTGGTTCTGCTGTGGTTCGGCTCAAAGAAACGATATTTAATGATTTCTACGTCCTGTTGCTACGTCACTGATCAAAGGTCCAACAGGTCAGACTCCGAACCGGACCAGTCTGGGTTCGACCAAGGTCAGACAGGGTGAAGCAGAACCGGGTCAGAACGCCGAACATTGTGGGTGCTGTGTGGCGCAGGTTCAGCACAGCCCATGTAAGGAAGCTTTAGTCGCAGGTTCGATTCCCGGCCTGGTGACCTTTGCCTCAGGTCTTCCTAATGTCTTTACCTGCTTCCTGTCTGAGCACTTCAGAATAAAGGCCGCTAGAGCCAAAATAACTTTAAAAAAAAGGACGCCGAACATCATAACAACGGATTATCAATAATCTGACATGGAGACAGATCGATAAGACTGATCACATGGGGCCAAGCAGGTCTATGGGTCCCTGATGGGACCCATTCTGCTAACTATGAAACAGTCTGACAGAATAATCCGAGATAACATCTGACTGTATAGATCTATACAGAGTAGACAGGCTTTCCGTAACGTTACTATCATACCTGACGGTTCAAACGATTCAAGTTTTTTATTAGTTTATTGTTACATAATTTGACTTCCAGTTCATAAAAACCACAAAAACATGAATTCATAAACTAAAATGAATTCCTTCTGAGGAAGGAATCAGCTCAGGAATGCAGGAAAAAGGGAGAAATTAAAATCGTTTTTGAACAAACCGTTTAAATCTGAGCCGATGCCTGGTTGTCATGGAAACCCAGATTCCCTTGTTGCTTGCTGTTGGGTCTGGCTCCTGTTGAGAATAATCAGTGTTTCTTAACCTTTTTTGGGCCAGCGCCCCCCAGCCTTTATCCAGGTCCCTCACCGCCCCCACCAAAGAATT